TGTATTGGCGGACTAGCCGATCAGCTGATGCGCACAACAAAGTGTGTTTCTCCTAAGGCTTTCGTTAATCGAAGTTTTGTTCATTAATGGAACTGAAAATCCTTATGGGAGCTAATTCGTTAACCGAAATTTCATTAATTGAACTGTTCGTTAATCGAGGGACCGCTGTACAGTACAGTGACCCCTCGTTTAACGAACACCTCGGTTAACGTAATTTCGATTAACGAACTGCCTTCCATAAGGATCTTCAATTCGGTTAACGAATTTCTTACGAACCGACCTCAACATGTTTTCGCTTGCACTGACCGGGCAACCAGCTTTAGTATCAGTTCGCCAATACATTAATCGGTTCTAGGGCTTAAATTCCTTACTATTTTAGTAAATATCAAGAAGTTTATACTATTCAATAATTTTAAAAGTTTAATATTCAATTTTTTAGTCATTTTAACAATTATTGAACATAATTGAAGGTAAAGTGACTAGTTTAATCTTGTGACATCCAGCCTCTTAACACAACAAACAGGAGTTAGTCTCTCTCTGTTTTCACTGGAGGTAACATCTTGCTTGAGACTCTCTTCAACTAAACGCTTTTTCTCTGTGTTTCCAAGCAAATTATTGGTCATTTTGAAATATATTTTACATATTGACAATATATAATGCAGTGCAGTGTTGATTTAAAGAAAATAATCTTGAATTACACCAAGAGAGCTAAAATTTTATGGGTGAAATGGCGCCATGGGGTGACTTCTCTTCCACCCCAATGCCTTCTCTTTTTCCTTCTCCTCCACCCCCATTCTAAATCCCATCATCATCATCATCATCCAGGAGCCTTCTACATACACACCTCAAAGTAAGTGAACTTTTCTACCATTTTTGTTGAATTTAGGAAATTTTCGGTGAGCTGGAACCAATTACCCAAAAACCCATTGAAACAATGGTTTCGGTTAACGAATTTTTCGGTTAACGAACGACCTTCTGGAACGGATTGAGTTCGTTAACCGAGGGGTCACTGTACTGGGAAATTTACGAGTCCTCTTTTTTTGTCATACTCTTCCTAGTTAGGAAGCAGTCAATAGGTTCATATTACAACTCACAATTAGCCTTCCTCACCCTACATTTCTGCTGGCTTGAAACATACGCCACTCATCGACTTTCCATTTTAAGCCATATAAGTAAGGTTGAATAGGAAAATGCATTTTATAGTTAAGGGAGGAAACAAGCATCCTGGCTTCCCATCTTCTTCCTTTCATGAGATTCCAAGTTGGCAGTTACTGTGATAAAATGAACCATGACTCATATTATAGATGGCACGTTTAGGATAAGAAGGAACTACATGCATTGTTTTTCAAGTCTGTAACCTGGTGATGGGGGTCCCCTATGTGTTGAATAAAATCATTTGGAGTTAGCCAAATAAAATATTATAAGCAGCATCCCTACAGTCAAGGGGTTAACGCCCGTATTATTAAACAACATCTTCCCTTGAAGAGGGTCGTCGTGTTTCAACCCGAGTTTTAAACTAAATGAGTCCTGAGGGACACCGCAGTACTGTACTTAACGGGGTGGTGTGGTGGTAAAATTAACTAATTCCAATAAAAGTAATTTATAATATTGGAATTAGTTAATTTTACCACCACACCACCCCGTTAAGTACAGTACTGCGGTGTCCCTCAGGACTCATTTAGTAAAACTCGGGTTGAAACACGACGACCCTCTTCGAGGGAAGATGTTGTTTAATAATACGGGCGTGAATCCTCACAATCTCTCACAGACACCACAGTTCCAGGAGCTTGAAGATTTGCTTCAACATTGGTTAACAAGGTGATTATCTGTAACTAAAGCTTACAATAATCCATAAGAACATAGGAATGGAGGAAACTGCAGTGGGCCTATTGGCCCATACTGGGCAGTCCCGTTTACACCCAACCCCTATGACTCATATATCCGTCCAACCTATATTTGAAGCTACCCAGTGAGTTCAAGTTAATGATGATATTTGGTAACTTATTTCACTCATCCAATACTCTAATATCCTGAGGTATAAAAAGAGATTTCATAATATCATCATTCATTTTTGTCATTTAATAATTGTAAACACCATTGGATAGAACCAACACAATGCTTAAATCTTATTTATATTTACAATTAAAGAGAAATTCACTTAATAATAAACAGTATTCATTTACCGTACTCTGTGACACAAATAAAATCGGAACAGTCTCTCCAACTTGTGGGTCATATTGTGTTGCGTCTCTGTAACAAAGCATGTTGGCATTTGGGCTGTCGTTGTTGAAAGGCGGAAAATGGACAGTGAATGCATAAGAGCATCAAGATCGTCTTAGTGATGTGAATGTGTAAATCGATATAAGATTTTTAATGTGATTTGTGATTGTATATTTAAATATTCTTTCTACTCAACTGGAGCTGTAGGCTGTTGGGATACAACCATAAAACCACTGCCTCTGCCAAGATTTACTCAGAAAATTTTTAGTGAGGCATGTCCATGGCTGTGACTGACCGTCCAAAGGGTGATCAGACATTGTAGTACTGTGCCTTTAGCTAGGGCAGTCCTTAGTGATAACAGTAACTAAAGTGGAAACTGAAAATAAATTGAAGTGAAAAAAAATGAGGCAAGCAACAGGCATGAGTGCCTAGAAGTAACTGAGGCACATTATTGCTGCCACAAAAAAAATAAAAATAAAAATACAGGTGCATGTGTTTCTAAAGGACTGCAATTGTGCATATGATCCACCATTCATCGGGAGATACAGTGTACATATACAAAGTGATACCACATAGAGATACCATCAACTAGTCGAGGAGAACTGGAAATGAAATAGTAAAACAAAAAACAAAAAATGGATGAATGAGGGTATCAGCGAGATCAAGACCAGCAGGATAGCCAAGTGATTTTTAAATAATATTATCCTGCCACAAGGGAATGATCACTCACACATCTTAGTTCACTTAGATTACAATTAGTAGGTGTAATTATAAAGGAAGTCATCCCAGCAAGTGAGAGATTATGGAGGATGGCATCACCCCCCCCCACACACACACCAGACACAGTGGCCTATGTACGAATGTAGTTAAGTCGTGAGCTTTAAAAGGTCCTTGACACTTAAGCCCTGTCACCAATGCAAAAAAACAATTATTGTAATAATAATAATAATAATTACCATTATTATTAAGCCAACAGTTAGAATTCTATCACATCGTAAACTGGCCTTAAGGCTAAGAAGATTCTTACAGAGTCTGGAGTTCCCTCCCCCCCCCTTCCTCAGGATTGCCAACAACGACAGCTGTCAAGCAATGCATATCCCGCAGGTGTAAGTACGTAAAAGGAAGGAGAAAGTTTGTGACAAACATGAATAGGAGTAGGAAATCAGGGGTTAAAACCCCAGCATCACCAGGAAGTTTGTTGACATAAAATTACTGTAAGGGGAAGTCTAGGATGGATTGTGGAGATCTAAGCTTACCAGCGTTTAGGACACTGCAGAATACGGTAAAGTATGGAGGCTGTATTGCCCTGACTGTATAACCAAAGTATATGAGGTTATTGCAGATCATAAGGGAAAGAGAGATGGAGACGAAAATAGAGGAAGCTGGATTCTTGTTGGTTACCAAACTAAAGCAAGTTGGGAAAGAGATCCTCACTAAGACTGAGGAAGTAGCTGACAGAATAGAGGAAGTAGCTAAGAGGAGCAATGCTCAGGTTGCAGCAGGGTCATAGAGGGTGATGGAGAGTAATGCGGGATCCAAACAGGTCCTTCAGCAGCTAGGGACTCTACAGAAGTGTGTTGAAGAGATGGCAACTAGTAGACCTACTGATATGGGAGAGGAGGAACAACAGGAACGTTTCGAGAGCAGGAACAAATTAATAGTGTTTGGAGTCCCTGAGAGTCAGTTGGAGGAAGCTGAAACTAGGAAAATGCATAAGATGAAATTTCAGAATATCTGTGAAGAGGCTCTAAACTTGTCAGCTCCCACTCATGACATGAGGAGGCCAAGGCAAAGGCAGGAGAACAAGCCCCACCCTCTCAAGATCACACTGGTGGGTGGGGATAAGAAATGGGAAGTTATTCAGAAGGTGAATCATGCAACTAAACTAGTAGGTCTAATAAGAAGGTAGTTCAGATATCTAAATGGTCCATCCCTCATCACAATCTTTAAGAGTGAGGTGCTTCCCCACCTGGTCCCTGAGATATGTTACAGACTGTCAGTTGATTGAAATGTCCAAAGGAGGACCACCAGACTGGTGCCTGCACTTCAGCACCTCAGTTATCCACAGATTAGAAATTAGAGCTTATACTACAGAGGGCACTACTCAGTCGAGTTGTCCATACCAGGAGCTGGCGGACGCCCACCTCACAAGGGGTCTCACAGCTCAAGGTTGAAGAAGTCACAAGTCAAGAAAACTGTGAGGGCAAATTTTTCGGAGTGAGAGTTGTGAACTCTTGGAACAATCTGCCAGTGTTATGATGGCAATGAATGTGAGTTCTTTCAAGACCAGACCTGACCAACACTGGAGCAGGTTCAGATACATTCAGGAGCCAGTGTAGGCTCAGTACTTGCCAACAGTGCATGACAGAGACATGACCGACTGCCCAAGTGGCTAACGAGCCGATCAGTTACAAAGAGGATAAAAGTAAAGTAAAAGTAAAAAGTAAATCTCAGTAAGCTCCCTTAATCTTGTAACTGTTATTAATACAATAATATTTAACCATGCCCCCCCCCTAAAAAGGGTCCTTCTATATTACATTAACTAAGACCCTAGCCCCCCTTATTATTTAATACTGTACCTCTTTGTCCCAGGAAGAGAGCATTAGCACATTTGAAGTTCATACATCCATGTTTTCCTGTACAAAAAACAGGAAAACATTTAATCCATGAGTTGTGCTGATACAGGCCAACACTCTCTCCTTGCCATCCTGTCAGTAACTGAATGGTGAGAATATCCAGAGCCAAGAGGGAACAATGAATCGGTTGTCACAGGAAAGATGTAAAAAAAAAAAAATTATCCAATTAGGTGCCTACAGGCCAGGACAGCTTATATGAAGGGGGCCCAGGGTATGAGGGGTTAATATTGGTTGGTCCCAAGTGCAAGTCTTCTACCTCTGAGAAATAGCTTTAAATAAAGTAATCGTTGATTCTGTTACTTCTTCTGATTCTGGATGGTTTTTACCCGATTTGTTAACCTTAAAAATTGGCTTAGTCGATTTTTCAGGACTGACTGACAAAAATTTTCCCTCACGTTTTCTTTTCTTTCCTCTTGTGTCTGATATTGTCACATAAGATGCTACATCACTTTGAGATGGAGTCCAATCTGGTGCAACCACAAGATCACCAAGTTTATTTTTCTCCCTAACTGGTACTAACACCTGGTATGTTTCTGGCACTACACTATTCTTTTCCTCTACATCACCTGTTTTATTATTTGCCTCCACTGGCACTAACACTTGAAAAATTCCAGGCATTACACATGTCTTTCCACCTACACAGTTCACAATATTTTTCTCAATTTCTTTTGATTGAATAAAATTTGAGTTTTTAATAATCTGGATTGGCTTCACTTCAAATGTGCCTTCTTTCTCCTCTAGTGTTATTTCTCTTTCACAATCAGTATCCTCCAAAATTGTTTCATAAGTGATACAAGTTTCAACAGTTTCAGTCTGAGGTTGACTCCATTCTGATTCCACTACAAAATTACCTAATTTGTTATTTTCCTCATCTGGTGCTAACACTTCAAAAGTTTCAGGTATAATACAAGCCTTGTCATCCACTGGAACCTTCAAGATTTTTTTCTTTTTTTCTTTGAGACTGGATCTTTTTGTGACCTTTATGACCTGATTTGCTTGCAACTGATCATCTAATTGTCTTACTGTTGGTTCTCTTTTACCCTCAGCATAATCCAATACAGTGTCATATGTAATCAAAAGGGATTCATAAAGTTCTTGTAATATTAACTGATCATTCAAAAGATACGTGTAACTGTGGATGTGGTCAATCACTTCACGGCACTTTAACGCAAAATTTTCTTCAGGTTGCTCATAAACTGGTGCCTCCTCTGGGATGTTGGTGTCTATGTCTTCTTCAGCATTCTCCTGTAAACAACAAATAATCATCTTACTTATATATTTTTATACCAAACTAGAAAAACAGTAAAGGAACACACAAGTAAAACTTGTCCAGGAAAAATTGCTAAACCTATATGAAAATGTTACAACTACTGTACATATAATTATGAACTGTTGCACATACATAAAACCAAAAATTATCCTGGGAATTCCATTTTACACAAATTGCCTCTTGTCCTGAGGGTTGCTGTTTTCATCCCAGGGCACTCCCAGTCCACACAACTGTAAATGTCTAAATGAGTATCAAACTTTATAAGTTGGGTAAGTGAAGGAAGTGGAGTGCAATGCCAGCCACAATGCCTTCTTGAGTACCAAAGGTTTAGTAAACAGTATCCACACTGGCCATAACAGGCAGTCATGCCTATGGAACCCACCTTCACTTGGACCAGGTGATTTGTGTATATTCCACTGAGTCAACAGTATTAAAACTCCGGAAATACCTAGACAGTGATGCCCTGGATGAACCATTTATTTGTTACCTGTCCACTGCAACTATCATCCTAAAAGAGATACTTGCAAATAAAGGTTGCCTCTTCAGGTTAATGGATGAGGAAGCATGGAGTTATATTAGCTGTAAGCAATGTACATTACATCTGTCCATTGTTTGTCAGTCACATTGGGACTTCCAGGACCAAAAAAATAGCAAGGAAAAAAGGGTATATAAACATTTTGGTGACTGCGCACCTAACCACCACTTATTTTTACTTTTTATTCTGTAACTGTTACTTTTTACATTATATTTTTTTCTGATTACGGGTACATCATCATCTTCCTCCTGGTTTACTCTTTCTTGACATGTGCATTTTATACTGACTGATGCAATGATGTGGGTACAGCACAAAGAGGAATCAACAGGAAACTCTCACTTTTCACTTATACACCAGTACAGTACTGTACTTCAACATATGCAAGTTCAACTCTCGCGAATTCGACTATCCGCAAAACAATCTCAGAGGTTATCTATTAAAATAACAAAAAGGTAAGGTGCTTATTCTAAAAACCACGGGTGTCCCCAAGATGTGACGGCATGGCATTATGCTGCATCCTGCATAGCTGTTCTTTCATTCCAGTCTCATTTGAGAGTTCTGCATTGCCCGCCAGTCTCGTCTGAGAGAAATTCTAACATTAATTATTAGTGTCATGGCTCCCAAACGGCCATTAACTGGTGGTAGTGCATCTGGTGCAAAGAAAGTGAAGAAAGTCATGACTGGCATAGAATATTGAAGTGTTAGATAAACTTGATAGCAACAAGAGTGCATGAGTGACAGGCTCATTAAATAAATTGCAGGCGATCCAGAGTGTGTTAAGGTGGGGAGAACCGTTTGGATAGTTGTTAGGGTTCCAACTCAGGGGATAAGTAAAGGCCGTGTGCATAATCCATTTATTGGCGAAGGTAACAAGGAAGGACAGACATGTCCTCACAGAGAGACGTCTGAACCAGAACTAACTCTGCGGCCGTTAGCAAACTGATACACCATTGCCAAATCGGCACATCTAAGAGACATAATCCTAAAGGTGCCTGGGAGCGCACTTTGTCCACTCGGGCTTCACGGCGGGTGGCGTGGGAGCTGTTGTGATGTCTGGGGTGGCTTCTGGCGCGGCGGTGGGCGTCAAGGGTGGAGGTGACGGCGATTCCTGCTCGTCATTCGTCCGCTGCTATCCATGTACATAAGGTACTGTCTGGGGGCCGGTGACTCCACCACCACCCCCGACCGGTCCCACTGCCCCGACTCCTAGTTCTGGACTCATACCCGCTAACCTGATACGAGAGACAGGAGGTTGTGGGCGGTCAGGTTGACCCTTCGGGACATGTTCTCATTGGTGCGCCCCATCGCGCATTCCCTGTTCCTCAGCGACCTCCCCCAGTGCCTGCTGACGTTGTAGTGCTGCCTGGCGTCAGGCACCAAGTCTTCAGCTGTCGCCCCGTGAAGAGCTGTGTCGGGGATGCGTTGAGTCCTGCAGTGGTGTGTTCAGGTACTGCATCAGGGCCCTCGCAACCTTGTCCGTGTCTAAGGAGTCCCATAGACCCGTGTAGACCCTCAGTAAGTAGTCTTTTGGCCGACTTCATTGCGGCCTTGGCCCGGCCGTTGGACTGTGGGTAATGCGCTAACGACACCCTAGACATCACACATCAGTCTTTGAAGAACTTTGACATTTCGGCGCTCATCAAGTTGGTCCCTGTCACACGACAGAACCTCAGGGATACCAGACCTTTTGAAAAGCCTCCTGAGGGTGGACACCAGCTTGCTGCTTGCGGCGCCATTCGGTAGGTGCTCCACCTCCAGCCATCCTGTGGGCCTGTCCGCATATGCGAGGTACGTGTGCCTGTACAGCTGGAACAGATTGGTCGCGACCTGCTCAAATGGGTACTCCGGCGGTGGCGTGGGTATCAGGAGCTCTGCGGGGGAGAACAGTGTGTGCCGCTCACACACCTGGCACTGACGCCTTTTGTGCTCTACATCCGCGTCTATGCCAGGTCAGTAGAAGGGGCGGAGAGCGAGCGGTTCACCATTCTTGCAATCCTCCCAATCGCTGGTCAACACGTGGGCATGCAGCAGCCTGTATTCGTCGTCGCGCCCGGCCTCTTCCTCCACAAGACGCTGGTCCACGACAAATGCGTCTTTGCCCTCCATGGCACAAGCCGTGTCGGCTGCTAATGATGCACGCACGGCCTCATCTTCCTCCCTGTCAGATTCGTCATGTTTGCTGCACAGTATATGGTACCTGGAGAGGGTGTCGGCTGCACAGTCGCCATTCCCTTGCAGGTACTTGATGCGGAACGAATAAATCAGTGTCTTCTCTTTCAAGTTAAGTATCTGTGGGTTGCCTATGTCCTTGAGTTCCTTGTTTTTGAAGATCTTCGTCATCACTCAATGGTCAGTGGCCAAGGTGAGGTCCGGACACCCGAGCAGAAACAGGCGGCCTTCTTCAGGCACCACGCAATGGCTAGTGCCTCGCCCTCCAGAGTGGAATAGTTTTTCTCAGCCGGCGTCAGGTGACAACTGCCGCACAGAGTCAGCTTCCAGCTGCCCTTGCAGCATAGGGGCGTCTCCGGCGTCACGCACTGGCAGTACTGTTGCTATATAACGAAGTCTATCCCCTGTCGGCTGTAGTCGGTGAGTGCCATTGCTGGCCACGAGACGTCCTAGTTCAGCAGCCCTTCCGCAGCCAGTTTGCCCACCGCCTCCCTCGTCTCTTTGAAAATCGCCTGCAACTGGCTGTCCCAATATGCTGTCTTGCTGGCGGGCTTCTTCAGTAAGTCGCGAAAGGGCTCCATCAGGGGCGCGACAACGATGAACGGGGCCACCTGGTTCACGAGGCCAAACCAGGATCATATGTTGGTGATTGTGGGCTTGGGTGGCATGCGGAATTCGATGATGCTGCTGATGAGGTCCTGGCTCGGCTGGTAATCTTCCCAGTCGAGAAGGTAGCCCGTGAATGTTGCACTCCTCTTGCAAAGGTGAAACTTGTCGGGCCTGAGAGTGACCCCGCCCTTCGCATGTGTCTCGAGGAAATCGTACATGTGCCAGAACGCGTCGGCGATGCTGCGGTCATATAACAATGTGTTATCGATGCACTTCATTTTCCTTGGTATGTCCGCCAGCATGTCGTCAAAATGTCTGGTGAACACGTCCTGCGCCGGACAGTGGCCCATGGGGGTACGCTTATAGTGGAATCAGCCGCAAGGGGTAATGAACGTTGTGAGTTTTTTGCTCTCGTCATCAAGTGGGATCTGGCGGTACCCCAGGTATGCGTCCACCACCCTCTTGAATGTGTGCTTCGGGACGCTCGAGATCATGTCAAAGGGGGGGAGAGGGTGTGGTGGGTCTCACTCTGGCTTGCCTGGTTGAGGCGCTGAAAGTCTACTGTCCTGCGCGACCGCACGTCCTTTTAGGGCACGACCACCATGCGAGAGCACCATTCTGTCGGCTCTCCAACAGGCACAGGCTCGATGATGCCCCTCCTCACGTCTTCCTCGAGCTGCTGGCGAACCTTGTCATAGAAATGGTGGGGTATTGTTGCGGGCGTGTGCACAACGTACGGCTTAGCGTCCGGGAGCAGGTTAATGTGGTGGAGATTTCCTTGCATTTCGGGCAGGTGGGTGCGGTTCACCGCAAATGCCGTACGCCCGAAGTGCTCAACGAACCACTTCTCCAGCCTCTCCACATTCTCTTCTTTCAACTCGCATGGGGGCATCATGGGTCGGGCAGGAGCGCTTGGCTCCTCTTTGATGAGCCCCGTAGTGCCGACTACTGTGGGTGCGTTGGGGAAGTCGCGCAGCACCAAGCCTAGCCTTCTGCACACAGGCAAAGACAGGTACGGAGACCGGATGCCTTTCGCAAATTACAGGTGCGTCCTGGTTGTGGAATGTCCCATGGTGACTTGGCACTCCTTGCTCCCGAGTATGTTCACGACCCCCCCGGAGATGTGGCACAGACGTGTTGCAGCCTGATCAGACACACCTGTGCGCCAGTGTCTGCTATGGTGCCCAGTTGCCGCGCCTCCTCAGCCCCGCTGCAGCTGATCGACACTGTTAAACAGGCCGTGTCCTTCGTCAGGCCCGCGACCACAGCTGTGCCCGAGGGGCTTGCATAGGCGCTGGTTTGTACTGGTGACTTGCAGACGCGTGCGAGGAGTCCCTCCAGGCCACACTTGAAACAGGTTAAGTGCCAGCACACTTGCCGCGTCCGCACGTTTGGCAACGTTGCTGAGGTTGGGTGCAAGGGATACCGGCATTGCTAGGCGACGGCAGCTCTGGTTTAAAATGGCGGGTTCCTGCACACAACATGGAAGCAGTTCTCTCTGCTGACTCATACACCTCACATGCACTATTAACGTCGCCCACATCTTTTTAAAAGTGGGAGCCGGCGCAGCACTTCACCTTTCATACTGGGGTTAGCGAGCCCCATCACTAGTTTCTTCGCTAGCATGTAGTCATCCAAGCTAGACTCACATGAGGGGCACTGAAACTTGCATTCCGCAGCCTTCAATCTGCACCTCACCACATACATGGACACGTTGTCGCCGGGATCTTGTATATATGCGAAAAAGTCTGCCCATGCACCCACAATGCACTTTGGGCCTACCACAATACTTTCCATAACCCTTATGGTTTCCTCCACCGTCATGTTATCAAAGACACACTTTTCACCCGAGCGTCTATGCACAGCTGCACCTCCGTGAAGCAAAGAAGGAAGACGTAGCCTGCTGCCAGAACCTGTGGCCAGTTGCATCCATACCTGTAGGTGGCGACACTCAATGCCCATCCCCTGAATTCGGTGGGAGACATGCCCATGGACGCTTTGCCCAGGGCCATCGGCGGGGCAGGTGGGTGCCATGTTGCCTGGGACTGCTGTGGGGTCATAGGGTACAGCAGGCCGGCTCCAACACAGTGAGCCGCCGTTGCTCTGTGGCGATGGTACTGGGCCAGCGTCGACGACCACGTGTGAACTGTGTTCTTCGCAGCACTCCCGGCCTAGGAATACCACTGTATAAGTTGGCGACATTCTCTCTGGGTCACCCACAGAAGTACACTGCACAATGTTAGGGTGCCAACCCGGGGGGTAAGTAAAGGCTGCGTGCATAGTCCATTTATTGGTGAAGGTGACAAGGAAAGACAGACATGTCCTCACAGCGAAGCGTCTGAGCCGGAACTAACTCCGCGGCCGTTGGCGGACCGATACACTCCTGCCAAACTGGCACATACCCCAACAATAGTACAATAGGCTGCAGCATTAGAATAATATATTACATGTAATTTTGAAAGATTAGAGCAAACTGTACTACTGTATTATGTTTAATATATTATAACTAATATACTGTGATTCCAATTCCATGGGTTCGTCACTATAGCACCCTAGGGGTTGATACTCTGACACTAATGTTAATGCCCCATGTACCGTATATCTCGGCTTATAAGACGAAATTTGAACATTAAAAAAATCTGCCCAAAGTTAGGGGGTCGTCTTAAGCAACAAATATAAAATTCTTACATCTTAAATATTGTGTCAAGAGTGGTGATGGAAACATCGTAAGCCACTCACAAAGTCCTACCAGTAATTATTTTATACTGAAACTTACGTTTGGCAAGCTGGATTCAAATTAAGATTACCGGTATATTAAAATAATAAAAATGTATTATAAACCTGTCTAACATACCCTGTAATAAACACAGCTATCATCACACACCCCTCCCCACGCCCCCCCCATTTGCCAGTGAGGAGACAAGAAAGGGAAAGTGACCGCGAGATTGGGCTATTTTTAGCCGTGGAGGTGGTCAGTAATGCATACCGGTATCGGTATATTTACTCATAATAATATTTATCTCCTATAAATAATTGATTTAAATTTTATTTTTTTACAAAGAATATTCAGTAAATGAGTGCATTAATTCTTGAAACTATCGACGGTTAATTACAGACGCTCAAGTGACGTCACTAGTGTTTACACTACACCAGCTGGTAATATTTGATGCCATTACTTGAAGTGAATTGGCCTTATTTTAAGTAACTAACTATAAATAAATACAAAAATTAAAAAAAAAGATCAAAACTGAGAAATAATATACTGTATGTATGTTGTGTTGTCAAAGTAAGAGGAACAATTGAAACTGCAATTGTGTGTAAATGAGGCAGAAAGTATGTATGTATGTATGTATGTATGTATGTGTGTGTATGTATGTTTGTATGTATGTGTATGTATATATATATATATATATATATATATATATATATATATATATATATATATATATATATATATATATATATATATATATATATATATATATATATATATATATATATATATATATATATATATTTCAAGTAAATGGAAAAATTTTACTCGACACAGACATTAGTTCCAGTTACCGGTAAATAGCAGACGCTTCAGTGACGTCACTAGTGTTTACACTACACCAGCGGGTAACATTTGATGACATTACTTGAAGTGAATTGGCCTTATTTTAAAAAACCAAGGATGGTTGGTAAAGGACTACTGAGTCAGTGGGTAAGTGTCACATTTGGGGTACTGGTCTTATACAGCGAATAGAGCTCAAAAGCTACTTTTTAAATGGAAATTTGGGGGGGCCGTCTTATGCACCCCGACGCCTTATAGGCCGAGATATACGGTATGGGTTTTAAAAGTAAAATATTAGGAATACCTGAATGGACCAATTTATGACATAATAAGCTATACAGCTCCTCCCCGACTTACAACCAACTCGACTTACGACCACCCGCACTTACGATCTGCCTCAGTCGTATCAAAATTTTGTCAAATTACGTATTTTTGAGTCCCAACGTCAGTACACAGACAAATTTTCGTTTGTAATCCACTATAAAATGGCTGGCAAGCTTAAAAGTGAGAGTTTTGTGGTGCTGAGAAGAAAAAGAGACTCTCATTTCAGATTTTCAATGTATTATTTAAGCATTTTCGACTTACGACCTGGATTTGGGTCCGTAACCCTGTCGTAAGTCAGGGAGGAGCTGTATATAATATGACCAAGAACTTTAAAATATTCAGAGAAATAGTGTGAGAAGCATTTATGATATAGCTGTTCATACTATCATTAGCATCTGTTAGTGATATTAAAGACAGTTTTGACAACAAAATGATCTTCACAGCAACAGATGCAAGCTTTAGGTATCGGGTAAGTACCACAAACAACATGCCATCACAAATTCCTGACTCTCTGCTCCCTGGGAACTGTTATGAATATTTTTCCAGGTGTGGTCTTATCAGCACTCTGGCACATAGCACAACCTGTGTCTCTTTACAGTCTCTGACATGGTGACATTATGAGCACCTTCAACAGTATCACCCACACACCATCACCAAATGAAGGCTCTGCCACTAGCTTCTTACATCACAACCAATCAGAGTGCATGCTGATGCCACATACAATTTTGGTTAATTCAAAATCCTATATATCCCTATTTTAAGTTATTCTTGCAAAAATAAGCATACTACCATGGTGAAATTCTGTGCATTTACTATTAAAGGTTATTTTTCCATTTTTTCTGACAACCTGAAATCATTCTATTCTCTCAGTGCATCAGTCAAGTCACTCAAGCAAGGAAGATATCCAGAAAGCTGACAAATACAGCTCTTAGGAGACTTTACTCACTCCACAGCACATTTATTTGGTCTACAGGTCTACAGTTGTAACCTACCTGTAAGTACTTGGTGTAAAGATGAGGCACGAAATATTCCACAACAATGGCCAGCAGTCCACTCAAGACATGTTGATGTTGACTCTTCAGATAATAATACTTAAGGGTCTCATTAAGTTGTTCAATTCCATTATATGTGTTGATGTCAGTAATATAATCCTTGCGGTATGCCCACACCCATCTCTACAAGAAAAGAGAGAAATAGTATGTGGTAAAGTACAGTATACACTAACAAATCTTTAAGTAAAGGCAAAATTTAAATTTATATAATTTTTTTATAACACAAGGAAAATTGCACAATAAAAGAAGGAAATATGAAGAAAAATTTGTTGATTACAATGTGATCATTTATAAAACTGGATAATTGCTCCAGATACTGTATCCCATTTTATGTCTGAGAATGGAGCGGATGAATCAGGATAACAGCCAGATAAAGTCCATGCAGCTAGAACCCTTACAACCTCTTGAAATAGCAACTACAATACTGTATTCCCTTAAAGCTCACAGTTTTAAAGCTCGCGTTCCTTGGAAACTCACGGAATACCATGGAAAATAAATAAAATAAATTTGAGGCTGTGTGCCAGGGATCAAGAGGAGTCAACACTACAGGACAGTACAGAGTACCATATTTCCCAGGTCATAAGATGCACCCTATAATTAGCAAGGTATATTTTGGAAAAATAATTTTTGCAGATTTAATAGCTTACTGTACTGGCAAAGCCAAGTTACTGGTTATATGCTATCATGTTTCTCACTACCACAACTCACTATCACTTTATGGACCTGTTATCAAACATTTGTTGGTATTAATAATAAAATTTACCTAATTTAATACAAAAGGATATAATTATACGTACAGTATAGGTACCTATACACATTACAAATACTTATCGGTACCGGGCATGTTCATTAGGTACTGTCCAGTACAGGGATTGTTTACATCCTGTGCACCAATCAGCTGATGTTTCAGAGGTATGTCTTTACACTGTCACTACCACAACTATCACTGTGTGGACCTATTGTCCATACAGTGTTATTTCATGTTTATGCATTTCCTATTTATTATATTGTCTTATGCATACATAATGTTGTTATACATATGCATATAGCTATTTATACAGTATATGTATTTTGCACACTCCTGGGACACCGGCATGAAAAACTCATGGATTTTGCTTTCTCACAGGGTCCATTTTACCTAACTCCAGCGAGCTTTAAATTGAAATTTCTGTTATGTTCATTCCATTTAGCGATCTAGGTCACTAAATCAAGCATGATTCCATTCAATTTCACACCAAATATGCCACTTGGCACGTGGGGTTTGTTTACATCCACTAAGTCTGTGTCCTGCCGCCACTGCGTACGTTGCTCACTGCTACCTCTCGGTCTACATCTCAGACAACAACTACTGTGCTTATACGAAGTCTGTCCAAAAAGAAACCAAACTTTTTAAATAGCGTGCCAACGAGCCGGTGCAGTGTGCTCACGACGGGAGCGCTGTGTAGCGGTGACCTTGAACTTTAGTCTAACACTAGCCGCATCACACCACGTCAATTAGTCATCGAGCTACACGTGCTAGAGTGAACGTGTGTTTAGTGCACTTGGCGATTTGTTGCAAGTTGAACAATGAAGGATCTTGAAGAGCAACGTGTTTGTGTGAAATTCTGTTTCAAATTGGGAAAAACTTTTAAGGAGACTTTTCAAATGTTGCAACAGGCTGAAGGAGAGGATTGTTTGAGCCGTACGCAATGTCACGTGTAATACCAGCGTTTCAAAAGGGGAAGAACATCCACCGAAGACGATCCTAAATCTGGACGTCAGAATCGCTCAAATGTGGAGGTGATGTTGATCGTCTATTTTGATTGGAAGGGAATCGTTCATCATGAGCTTGTTCCACGTGGTCAGACAGTCAATAAAGATTTTTACTTGAAGGTCCTGAAGCGTTTGATGGAGGCAGTGCAAAGGAAGACGCCTGAGGCGTGGACAAACAAGACCTAGATGCTGCACCATGACAATGCACCTGCTCACGCGTCGCTCCTTATCCGTGACTTTTTGGCGAAGCACGAGACGTCTATCATCCACCAGCCGCCCTACTCTCCGGATTTGGCCCCTGCGGACTTTTTTTTGTTCCCAAAGTTGAAATCCACCCTGAAAGGTCGCCGATTTCAGATGATAGAAGAGATAGAAGAAAATTCGCTATGAGACCTGCGCACCATCCCTCAAAACGCGTTCCAGAACTGGAAAAAACGTTGGGAGCGGTGTATCAACAGTGGAGGGGAGTACTTTGAAGGAGACAAGTCTGATTAAGTTGTAAGTGAAGCAATAAATTTGTTTTTTAAATAGTTTGGTTTCTTTTTGGACAGACCTCTTACATCATGCCGAAAATCTCTCAGAAGTCTCAGAAAGGAGGTGGTGTGGGGGAGAAAGTCAAAAGAATGCAGCTATCAATTGGAAAAAAGTTTGGAAATAATAGAAAAAAAAAAAAAACACTGAACCCCCTAGTTTAAGGTAAGCCATTAATAATATTTCTAATGGTTCTATGTACATATCATGTGTCTGAGGTGTCTCTGTAGGTATGAGCGTATTAACGGAATTGATCTAGATTGAACGAACTAGCTCATTAAATTGAGCGAAAAATAATGGAAAAAATTCCTTCTGCTAAATCAAGAGTTCGTGATATTGGATTCCGTTAAATCAAGAGTATACTGTAGTTTTGTTATGAAGTGCATCTTCTTCAAGTTCAACTCAATTCCTTAAAAAGGGATTCAAATTAACAGTTGTTTTCATTAGCCCATCCAGAAGATGGGTAACCATTTTAATTCCTGTAACTATTGCCGTTCAGCTCTGAATTAACTGTCCTTAAAGTTTTTTAATCTCTCAACTCGTGTCCTATAGCATACTGAATCTCACAGTCCTCCTTCTGATTACTAGTATAGGTATTTCACTTCATGTAAATTCATCCTCGCTTTCTGCCCATTAGAAATACAGAAAAACCTCTATAGGTTGCCAATCAACAGTTCACAAAACATCTCAGTTCTTATTACATGCTAATAACTGAGGAGACTAATTGAGTCTGAATGTGGAGGAAAAGAGAGCTCGGGGTAGGGCAAGAATAACATGGGGAGAGGTTGTAAAAAATTACTTTAAGATAAAAACAAGATGAGGAAAGGCTGCCAGAGGCTGCACAACATAGAGAACTGCCATAATGGAATTATTGGTAATAAATGTGGAAAATGGTTGTTAAACAGTGATAATGATGATGCCGATGATTCAACATGCTGAATTACTGGTGGGTTGAGTGGTTCCGTTTACCACAGAATGTAAATGCAAATTATGATGTGAATATTTTGCAAACGTGATTCTCTCTTACATTCTAAAAGTAACATCAAGGGTCATTTCACATATGTCCCTGCTGCTTCACTATCCAGTAGGAAAGATCCAACAACTTAACAGCCAATGCTGGAAGAGAAATTAATTTCATACCATTGCATATGTGGAGATGTGTTCCTGATGACATTTTTTACCTCTGAGATATATTCAATACTGTATATGAAGGGTATAAGTATTAATAAGAACAGATTATTACAATAATGTACATGTATATTACTAATTAATAAATAAATTAACAATACAGTGATCCCTCGTTTAACGAATGCCTCGGTTAACGAATTACCTTCCATAAGATTCTTCACTTCGGTTAACGAATTCCTTACGAATTTTTCCCAACATGTTTTCGCCTGCTTTTGCCTGCTCACCAGCTGTAGTATTAGTCCGCCAATACAGTAATCGGTTTTAGGGCTTAAATTCGTTACCATTTGAGTAAATATCAAGAAGGTTGTACTATTCAATAATTTTCCAAGTCTTATATTAAAGTTTTTAGTCATTTTAACAATTATTTAACGTAATTGAAGTACAGGGAACTAGTTTTTAGTGCGCCAAACAGCCACTCAACACACCCAAAATGGCGTCAGTGTGTGTCCCTGCTCAGTGGAGGAAGCTTCTTGCTTGAGACTCTCTTGAACATAAACTATTTTTACGTATTTACAGTACAATTATTGGTCATTCTGAAGTTTATTTTACATATTGACAATATATAATGCAGTGCAGTGTTGATTTAAAGAAAATAATCTTGAATTACACCAAGTGAACTAAAATTTTATGGGTGAAATGGCACCATGGGGTGACTTCTCTTCCACCCCAATGCCTTCTCTTCTCCCTTCTCCTCCACCCCCATTCTAATTCCCATCATCATCATCATCAACCAGGAGCCTTCTACATGCACACCTCAAAGTAAATGTACTTTACTGCATTTATTTTTAGTTTGTATGTAATTTTCGGTGAGCTGGAACCAATTACCCAAAATCCCATTGAAACAATGGTTTCGGTTAACAAAATTTTCGGTTAACGAACGACCTTCTGGAACGAATTGTGTCTGTTAACCGAGGGACCACTGTATTGTATCATGAATGACAATATGAATGAGAGGCAGGAGTCAGTGACAAGCACTGGGTGAGAAGTGACCCTTTGCAGGGTTGGGGAGAAGAAGGGGGTGTTTGTGCAGTCACTTTTACCCCCCAATGGTCCCTTCCCCCTCCATACTCCCACTACCTCCCTTCCTCACAGCATCTGTTCTAAACTTCTAATTGAGTTAGAGAGATGAATTTGACACCACAATGATCCCGAATAAATTCTCTACGAGACGTTTCCAATAAGATACAGGCATCCCTGGGTTATGGAATTTTGGTTACGGAATTTCACCCTTACAGAAATTACAAACTTAGAACTTAATTTCGGGTTATGGAAAAAAATGCGTTTATGCAATTTTGAAAAATAAAAAAAAATAAAAATAAAAAATAAAAAAAATTTGCAATTTTTTGGTTCTCAACATTAAAAAAAAATAGAAAATATGATAAGTGAATGCATCTGTAGCAGCACAAAGGCACCAGTGGTCCCACAACAACAACAACAATGGTTTCAGTCTGCTTGAATTTCCAGCCAATGTTGTGCTTTCTCTCGGTTTTCTGGGCTGTTACTGGTATTGTACTGTGCATTATTACTCAAGATGAGTGGAAAGAGGCCAGCAAGTGCTAGTGCCAGTAGTAGTACTGAGCATGAAAAGGTATTACTTTAGAGACAAAATTAGATGTATTAACAAAGACAAAATTAGGGCTGGTACTGAGGTTGCTACTCCATCATCAGCCCGTACACTATAGTATAGTGTATTTTCACTGGAGTGATTTAATGATAAAAATGGAATGTTTACTTAGTGTGTGGACAGAAGACCAGACCATGTGAAATGTGGTCCTTAGTACAATGATTATTCAGGAGAAGACTATGAGTCTGTATGCAGATTTAAGGTGCTAGCTCAGATGAAAAACCCTTTAATGCCAGCAAAGAGGCTGGTTTGAACAGTTTAAAATATGCTCAAACCTACACAACACAGATGGTAGGTGAAGCAGCCAGCTCAAATTTATCCTGCTAAACTAAAAGCAATATTTGAGGCTGATGGATACACACCACAGCAAGAGTATAATGTTGATGAAACAGGCCTCTTTGGGAAGTGTATGCCTACCAGAACCTTTATTTCACCTGTAGAGGAAACAGCTCCTGGGTTCAAGGCTTCTAAAGATCACGTGACTCTGCTGTTAAGGGGTAATGCAGCATGAGATTTCAAGCTGAAGTCCATGCTTGTTTACTACTCAAAAAATCCCAGGGCTTTCAAGGGCTACAACAAAACCAGGTTACTTGTAATATGGCACTCCAATAAAATAAGTATGGATGATTGGCACCCTCTTCCAAGATTAGTTCACTAGCTGCTTCTCTCAGGCTGTAGAAAGGTACAGTAACCAACAAAATATTTCCAACAAGGCCGGCCATGCTACTTCTTGATAATGCTCCCAGCCGCCCTGTTAACCTTAATGACCTTTCACCAAACATCAGGGTTGAATACCTGCCGAAGAACACAACTTCCTTGCTACAGCCTATGGATGAATGCCAACTTTAAGGCCTACTATCTATGCAGGCCACTTAAACAACTTATAGCAGCAACTGATAGTGAGGATCAATAATCACTTTCTGGAAACAATTTAACATCACGAATGCTGTAAACAACATTACTGACTTCTGGGATGAGGTAAAAAATACAACTATGAATGGTGTGTGGAAGAACATCTGGCCAGATTGTGTTCATGATTTTCCAGGTATTCCCCAGGTCCAGACCTTGGATCAGGTGCAACAGGAAATTGCAACTCTGGCAAATGATTCAGGTTTCCAAGAGGTAGACCAGGTTGGTGTTGTAGAGCAATTAAGGGTCACACAGGGAGGATCTGCTGAGGAACAGGAGGACACCTGTACAGAAGTTGCATCTGCAGCCACAGAATTAACAACTAAGATTTTGTCCAAAGCTACAGTTTTAGTCAACTGCAAGATGTGACAGTGGTGCATGCCTTTGAGACACATGATCCAGACCATAAACACAGCCACAAGTTTACAGGAGAAATCAAGAATGCCAGGAGGGGATACAGGGAGCTGTACACAGAGAAATTGGACCATCAACAACAGACCACACTGGACAAGTTCTTGTCCCCAAAACCTCAACCAGCAGCAAAACAAAATGATGATGACCCACAGGGAGAGGTAGGATTCAGCAGCGACCCACCATCTCCCTCCCATGAACTCCAATTGCACCACCTCACCTCACCACTTCACCTGTTTTGTTAATTAATTATCATGATTGACTCATTGTACAGTTTGTGGTTAAAACCAAATTTCATACATATACGTGCTTGTATCACGTTTTTGGGCCTCAATAATTTTCCCTAGGAACGCATCTCAACTTTTATAATCAAGTCAATGGGAAAAAGTTTCACTTTATGGAAAATTTTCCGGAACCTAACCCTTCCGTAACCAGGGGGATGCCTGTATCCTTAAACAAAATATTTTGTTATGATATAATGATGGGGATTCCATTCTTTTATAAAAAAAAAAACCTAAGAAATGTTGATACCCAAATCAATAAAATCAGTTCTAATTAACTTAGACACACCATTTGTTTTACCAAAATAATACTAAATAATGTATCTAAAAGTATGGCTAATTAAATATCTTTAGAAAAAAATCTATGTGATAAGAGCACGAATGAAGCTGTGTACTACAACAAAGATAGTGGTATTTTCCGCTCTTCACAAGAAAATTTCCTAGTCTAAATGACGCATCTCGCATGGAGCTGCATTTATTTACGCAAGCACCACTGTACACGTACAATATTGTTCATACTGTAAACAAAATACTGTAATGTATACGACTACTATACTGCATTTTCTGCACTCACCAGCAGATTCTGTCATCTTGAGCCTACAGTGGACAGACACTGTTCATTCAGCTTCATGAAATACGTAACTGTAATCATGTCTTAACACTTGCGATGGAAGTTGGGTGGGGGATTAGTGGATGATGTTACAGTACTGACCTGACCTGATGCAATATTAGGTCACCCATTGTCAGGGTGAGGGATCAGTGGGTCTTGTGACTTGAAGATGTCTTCAATAAAGATGAAAGCTAAGGTGCTCCAGTGTTTCCCACTTAATGAGTGTACAGTATACCTGTAGTTTACGTAACTGTGCTGCAATCACCTTTTACGTTCTTAACACTGTATTCTTGGTTGATTTTCTTCTGGTACAGTAATGTACAGCACTGCACAACACAAATTGTACACAAAACATAATATAAACATAATATAAACTAAGTGATCCAAGCAGCTAAGTCCCGCCCCCCCTACCTGGCACATGAGGATGCATTGGAGCATGATGCAATCTCTCAGAATGCCCTGAAAATTTATTCCCAGACCCAAAACGGAGTGATCGGGAGAGTTTCTGGGCTTTTCTTGAAAATTTCCAGAAAACGCGCCTGATTTTCAACCTCGGAAAATAGTTCACAACCCGGAAATGATAGAAATTTTCAGGAAAAATTCTGAGCAAATTTCAATTCCTGCTATTGGATCTTGATAACAAAATGCTTAAATGTAGACAAGGAGGTGAGTTTCATTTCTTACAAAGGAAACATATTATTTAAGTAAAAAGAGAAAATTAAAACAAAGTTACCAGTAAAGAATCCCAAATCTCTCTTTGTGCCACAGCTAAGTTCAAGGGCCCATAATGCAAAGAAGTAATAGTGTTCATATAAATGCTGATTATCCAACTTATCTGAGATCTTGTGATATATCCACATACAGCACTGTATTAAATTTTTTTGAAGTCCTTACCTAGCTGTTGTGTGAAACACACACCAGAAATCATGCATTATTAACTCTCTCGGGATCCCAACTGCTTCCCCCATCACCTGTAGCAAGATACAGTACTGTACTCACATTACCTGGTCTAGCAAAACGCGCCATACTCCCCACTGTTTGGTGTACAAGGCATATGACCCTGCATCTTACTCAAAACACATGCAAATAAAATACAGTAAACCCCCGCTTTACGCGGTTTCACTTTACGCGTTTCCACGTTTACGCGGTACCCTGCCGAAACCGGAATGCTCACTTTCCGCGGTGTGTGTACCCTTTTACGCGGAGAGCGGCGCGAGCAGGGTGCGCACAAGGTCGCCCAGTCATCAAAGCATAACCGAGTTCTTCACCTGCAACCCACCACAGCCGGCCCAAGTCAGTGATAGTGATAATGATAGTGAGGATATGGACTTATATGGACTTTGAGGGGTTTGACAAAGAGGCCCTGCAAGCCTCTGTGGTGGATAGTGATACAATTGATACAAGTGATACAGGTGAGGGCCAATAATCTGCCCTCTGCCTCGGAACCAACCCCCCATCCCCGTGTGCCCAGCCATCTTTTCTACTAATGTAAGTGTTAAAAAACCTAATATTATTGATATTTCTCTTAATTATTAATTGTGTGTGCATACCATCATAAAATTAAGAAGTTATTTTTACTACAACGTAGGTATTGTGTCTGAAAAAGTGGAGTTTGGGGGTTGGCCCAGTCTCTATTTCAATTAATCCCATATGTTATGTTGTTCACTTTACGCGTTTCTCACTTTACGCGGGCCGCCGTGGGTTCAACTGACCGCGTAAAGTGAGGGTTCACTGTACTATATTTTGCATAATTTTGTGCTACTTCTTACACAAAAGGCATATGAAGTCACCAATGGGTACAGTATATAAATTCCATACAGGAAACGTGTATGAAAACCCTGACAGAGTTAAGTCAACCTCTTGGGATGATTAGACAAATATTCTACAGATCTAATATTATACTGAAGAGCGGCAAATTAACTCCAAATATGGAATGGAGGAATGCTTTGTTTATGTAAATAAAGATGCAGTAAAATAAGAAATATGTAGTCTCTGGATGTTAGAAAGAGTACCAAGAAAGTCAGCATGCTTAAATTTGTAAGTAAACAGAGTCCATGATACTGTATCTTAAGATGGCTCTGCAGGAGTGCATACTGTACTCCTGATAAAAAAAAAATGATATTTAAACTTTAATAATATTCTTCAAGATTATATGTACCTGTATTGTAATCTTGTATTACACTGTACTGTACAGTATAGTAAAAATAGAATTAAATTTGTTAAAACAAATTAAATTTTTAAATTTCATTTTGTAAGAAACAGAATGCATTATATTTTTCTTTAACACATAATTGTCACAAGCTGAATCATTCAATGCAGATAAGAGTATAAAAAAAAATAATCTAAATAAGAAAGGTTCTCAGCAAAAATATTTAGTATACATAATGGGTAAATACTGTACAGTACATACCTGATGTTCAGGCAGCCACATTTTCCCAAACCATTTCTGCAACTTTTGATTTTTCATCCAAATGTCACTGTCATACAGGTGTTTCTCTGCCACACTGTATTCTTGGAATGAACTTGCATGGGCAATAGCTCGAAGCTGAGAAAGAACTTCCTCTTTTACTGGGTAAACGCCATTATCAGCATTCAGTGCCCATCTTTCCCAAGCTTGTTCACGTTGGTAATCACATAGGAGAACTTTCACATTATCAAAAGTCTGTTCAACTGCAACCATCTCCACTCTAGAGAAATCAGACATGAAGACAGAAGGTTTCCATTTGGGATTCCATTCCCTCAAAACACCCAGGGCCTCTTTCACAGCTGCCACTGTCTCACTTTGAACTATAAATGATCCAGCTACTTCATAGTCAACATCAGTTTTAACAACTAAAAAAAACAGAGGCAGAGAATTTTCTATACTTCTATAAACACCATCCAATATACAGATATCCTGGCCATACCATTCCAACAACTGGCATTGCCATTTGGTCTGATGAACAACCAACAATTGCTGTCCATAAACAGGTGGATGATATGAGGCTTCCTCTTTCACATCTGTAAAAGGTCTGAAATAGAATCTGTCCTCTGGTTGACTTTGCTGCCATTCATTTATCTTAACACTCACATTCTCTTGGTCAGCCTGAGAGATTCTCAATTTCATTGCTGCTAAATTTATACAATTTTCAATTTCTGATTTTGGGGGAAAGAAACGTCGACTGCTCCTTGATGGTAAATCCTGTCCTGCAAATAACTCAGTCTGTATATATTGTTGAAGATTTGTTTTAAGAACTTTATAATCTGTTATTCCTTCTGCAACCAAGTCATGTATTTTCTTTTTAACTCTAGAGTCAATGGGCCGCTTTAACCCCTGAACTTGTTCCACACAATGATATTTGTGATCTGCCATAGATGGAAAGTGAACATATGTCCTTCTCTCTCCAAAAGCATTCCCATCTTTCATGGCATTTTGAACTTGGGATGAGGCTTTTCTCCGATAGTATTCAGTATTTGATGTTATTCTGAAATTTGGAAATTTTACTACTTCTCGTATATATATCTGAGCTGGACAGTTTTGTTTTTTAGTTCCTGGGACCCGATGGTAGTGTCTTTTGATTATTTTACCTCCTTTCATCCGAGTCTTCTTGTACCTTCGTTTGTGATTCAAGTTACGATCAACTCCATATTGGCAGTCATATGTCCGGCTTCCAAGAACAATATACGGTATACCATCAAAGTCCAGATGGCACATCTTAATCCTGCTATTTTCACCATCATTCCAGAATATCTTATGTGCACCAGGTTTCACATCTGAAAAAATATGAATGAAAATAAATAAATGCAGACCCATAATAACTACTGTATACATATACAGTCATGCGCCGGTTAACGTCCTAGATACGTTCTTGGAAACGTGCCGTTAACCGAAATGGAAGTTGTCCGGTCATCACATAAACTTTGTATTTATACTTACGTGTATGTGGAATACTATATATGTACATATACACTTTTACTCTTAAATCACTACTGTAATAAGATACAGGTGATTAATTTTTATCTCTTGTGCAAAATACAAGACGTTTATATTAAAATTATTCACTGTTTTACAAGGATTCCAGCAACGCTGGGCAGATGGGGGAGAGAGAGGGAGGGAGGGAGGGAGCCAGCGAGAGGGAGTGGGGGGAGGGGAGCAGTTTGATAGTTGGCACAGACCCAGGTCTAACGAGTGTATATTTATCATTTCTTAAGTGACTAAGCTTCTCTTATAAAAAGCCAGTGAAATGACCTGGGTGAATGCAATTTACATTGCTGGGATTCTTGTAAGATACTAATTAATTTGAATATAAACATGCTATAATTTGCACTAGACATAATTTTAGTACTGTAATCAAATTAGTACATGTACACTCCAGCTTTGCACTAAGGTCATTTATTTCTTTTGCGTTTCTTTTAGTATGGTGTGTGCATGTAAATGGATGAAAATAAATGAAGAAATTTATGTAAATCTACCCAAAAATACAGTTGAAAAACTTTATATGATAAAATGTACACTAACGTACAGTGATCCCTCGGTTAAGAGCGCCTCGGTTAACGAGATTTCGGTTAACGATTTACCTTCCATAAGATTCTTAACTTCGGTTAACGAGCAATCCCTCGATTAACAAGTTTTTTAAGAGCCGACTTCAACATGTTTTCGCTTGCATTTGGCAGTCCACCAGCTGTAGTATTAGTCTGCCAATACAGTAATCGGTTTTAGGGCTTAAATTCCTTACTATTTTAGTAAATATCAAGAAGTTTATACTATTCAATAAATTTTAAAGTTTAATATTAACTTTTTTAGTCATTTTAACAATTATTGAACATAATTGAAGGTAAAGAAACTAGTTTCTGGCGTGCCATCCAGCCTGTTAACACACCAGATAGGCGTTAGTCTCTCTCTGTTTTCAGTGGAGGTAACATCTTGTTTGAGACTCTCTTCAACTAATGCTTTTTTTCTGTGTTTCCAAGCAAATTATTGGTCATTTTGAAATTTATTTTACATATTGACAATATATAATGCAGTGCAGTGTTGATTTAAAGAAAGTAATCTTGAATTACACCAAGAGAACTAAAATTTTATGGGTGAAATGGTGCCATGGGGTGAATTCTCTTCCACCCCAATGCCTTCTCTTCTCCCTTCTCCTCCACCCTCATTCTAATTCCCATCATCATCATCATCATCCAGGAGCCTTCTACATACACACCTCAAAGTAAGTGTACTTTTCTATCTTTTTTGTTGAATTTAGGCAATTTTCGGTGAGCTGGAACTAATTACCCAAAACCCATTGAAACAATGGTTTCGGTTAACGAGTTTTTCGGTTAACGAGTTTTTCGGTTAACGAGCAACCTGCTGGAACGGATTGTGCTCGTTAACCGAGGGACCACTGTACTACAATTTTTATCTCTTGAGCAAAATATATGACATTAATATTCAAATTATTGGCTGTCTTGCAAGGATTCCAGCAATGCAAATTATAATCTCCTTACTTTAGTCTGAGATATTATATAAGATAAAAACTGTAAGCCTAAAACCCTGGCTGAGCAGATGGGGGAGGGAGGGACAGAGCCAGCCAGCCAGCGAGGGGTGGGGGGCGGTTGAGGTGATATGTTTGACAGTTTGAGCCGAAGGTCTCTGTTTGTTTATTTAACAGTCCTACTAAGCTTCTCTCATTTTAAAATGCCAGTGAATAACCTGGAAGAATTTAATTAACATTGCTGGGATTCTTGTAATATACTGATTAATTTGAATACAGGTATAAACATGCAGTAATTTGCACTAGACATAACAATTTTAGTACCGTAATCAAATTAGTACATGTACACTCCAGCTTTGCACTAAAGTCATTTATTTCTTTTACGTTTCTTTTAGTATGGTGTGTGCATGTAAATTGATGAAAATAAATGAAGAAATTTATGTAAATCTACCCAAAAATACAGTTGAAAACTATACTGTATTATAAAATGTACTACAGTATTGTACACTAATGTACTACAATTTTTATATCTTGAGCAAAATATATGACATTTATATTAAAATTATTGGCTGTCTTGCAAGGATTCCAGCAATGCAAATTATAATCTCCTAACTTTAGTCTGAGATATTATATAAAATTTACACCTTAAAGCATAAAGTTATCACCAATCTTTTGTCTGGAACACAAGGAGGGAGATAGCCAGCGAGCATGGGAAGAGGGGGGGGGGAGGTGAGGTGACAGTGTCTGGTGTTTGTTTATTTATTTGAGATAAGATTTGACAGTTGGCGCTGAAGGCTGCGTGTCTATTTATCATTACTTAGAGTGACTAAGCTCTTCTCATAATTTGCCACCCAAACGACCTGGGTGAATATAACTTACATTGCTGGGATTCTTTTAAGATAGTGATTTATTTGAATACCTGTATAAACAAGCTATATTTGCAATAGACATAACAATTTAAGTACCGTAATCATTTAGTACATGTACAGTACAGGTTTGTTCCATTGTTAACCGAGGGACCACTGTATTGCAGTGTACTGTACAATATTGACTAAATTCACTAGATAACGTACACAACTAATGGTTGGTAAAACTTGTCAAGTAAGTGAGTGTCAAGTCTGTCAGTATGAGTGGCATGTGTGAGTGCTTGTGTCCCCCATCATAGGAGTCCGTTTTCTCTCGCTTCAGGACGCCTGAGTCCGTTTTATCTTAATCTTAGAGTGCAGTGCACCAGAGACTTCGTTATTCCTGAGTAATGACACAGAATTTGAAATTGCAACCCCAATTGCAACTGGGGTTGCAATTGTTGAGGCAACTAGATATGTCTGATTACAGCAAATGTGTTATTGTCAATTTGTATGTGAAAGATTTTATCCTCAATAGATGTAGGTTAACATTACACCTGGAGGCAAATGCTTACTAAAGCCAAAGGAAGGATATTCCTTTCACACATAATATCTGACCAGTATGGGAAGGATCATCGTGTCTCCGTCAGGGGGTCGTGGGGTGGTGGTCCAGCAGGCGTCACGTAAGTTTTTTTAGAGGACACGGATGTATAAGCGATCGGATGTTGTTCGGTTGGACGTTAACCGGCGCATGACTGTACTGTAGTAAACAGTACTGTACCATTCAAAATACAGTACAGCTTGCCCTTAAAATTCGCAGGGGTTAGGTTCTCAAAATGGCCGCGAATAGCCAAATCCGCGAATAACATTTGTTGACCGGTGTGTGTGTGTGTGTGTGTACATTTTTACATGTGTGCAAATAAATGTATATTTCCTTTATGTGTTTGCCCTTTGGACAATTATTTCTTTAACCTGTACAATATTGTCCAGTGATATCCCCATTAGCCGGAACAATTGCTGCAGAGCACTTCCGGGGATGAGAGATTTCTGGGTAACCAGACGACTTTCTCAAACCCAGAAAAATTCCTTTTCCCCGCAACCTTTTACGGTTACTGGGAAAAGTTTCCGAGTGTCTGAACTAGACCTCTTACACAGACGCAAATGTGTCATACAATAAGACCTTCACTCCTTAACCCTTAAACCCCGGGTTAGGGTGCTGCTGGCAGTATCTTGGGGTTAAATTGAGAGAAAAAATCAACTTTTCAAAAATAATAAAATAAAATAAAAATTGGCGGGAAAATAGGCGGATGTTCTGGAACGTCACCCGGGACCTAAAGGTTAAGCTTGCTGTCTTAATTCCCTTGCTGGGGGATGTGTGTTGGAATGTGTACCATGTGTGTCAGGGGTGTGATGTTGGGGTGTGTGTGGTTGTTGGAGGGTGTCTGTGGGTGGTTGTTGGAGTATGTGCATCTAATGTTGGGGTGTGTGATGTGTGGGGTGGTGATGTGTGGGGGTGGTGATGTGTGGGGTGGTGATATGTGGGGGTGGTGATGTGTGGGGTGGTGATGTGTGGGGGTGGTGATGGTGTGGGGTGGTGTGTGGTGGTGGTGATGTGTGGGGGGTGGTGGTGTGTGGGGGTGGTGGTGTGTGGGGTGGTGATGTGTGGGGGTGGTGATGTGTGGGGGTGGTGATGGTGGGGGTGATGTGGTACAGATTATTACAATAATGCATCTTCACTCATTAATGAAAAACAAATAAACAACATTGTATCATGAATGAGACAGTACAGTAGACAAACAGAGGCGACCCTTTGGAGGGGGGGGGGGTTGTGGTGACCTTTACCCCCCAATGGACCCTTCTCCCTCCTGCTTAGTTCACAACAAAAGTTATTATCTTTACTGTACTGTATTTGTGTTAAAGAGATGAATTGAAAAGTAGCCCAGTCAAGCCATCATATATCAATTAATTTTAATATAGAAATTATACAGTCAACCCTCGCTTTACGCGGTCCCACATTCCACGTTTACGCGGCACCCTGCCGAAACAGGAATGCTCACATTCCACGGTGCGTGTACCCCTTTACGCGGAGAGCAGCTGGCGAGCCGCGCCATTTTTGGATTCAAACCTCCCGCCATCCGCCATGTTGTGTAAGCTGCGCGAGCATGGTGCGCACAAGGTCGCCCAGTCATCAAAACATTACCGAGTTCTTCACCCGCCACCCACCACAGCCGGCCCAAGTCAGTGATAGTGATAATTATAGTGAAGATATGGACTTATATGGACTTTGAGGGGTTTGACAAAGAGGCCCTGCAAGCCTCTATGGTGGATAGTGATACAATTGATACAAGTGATACAGGTGAGGGCCAATAATCTGCCCTCTGCCTCGGAACCAACCGCCCATCCCCGTGTGCCCAGCCATCTTTTCTACTAATGTAAGTGTTAGAAAACCTAA